CAAAAATATAAAGGTGCTGACAGAATAAAGAAGATTCGTCTCCAATCTTTACGAGGTGAATTTGAATTGTTATAAATGAAGTCCTCAGAATCCATTTCTGATTATCACACAAGAATTATGGTGATAGTCAATTAGATGAGAAGAAACGGAGAAGCCCTTTCAGATGCTCAAATTACTGAGAAAATTTTGAGATCCCTAGATCCAAAATTTGATTTTGTTGTTGTCGCTATTGAAGAGTCCAAAGAGGTGGACAAGTTAACAGTGGATGAACTTATGAGTTCTTTGCAAGCTCATGAGCAGAAGATTGTAAAAAGAAATGGAGATAAGGCAATTGAGCATGCCTTATAAGCAAAGTTGTCTCTCAAAGACAGATATGAGCAAGGGGAGACTTCAACAAGTGGATACACCACTCGAGGAAGAAGTCAACAAACACGAGGAGGATTTCAACGATTTCAAGGCAGAGGTTCTTGGTATACAGGTTTTAGAGGAAGAGGTGGTAGAAACACCACTAGAGGAGGTCGAGGACAACAAGCATTCACTCCTAGAGGAAGAGGAGGCGGTTACAATAACCGTGACAAGAGGAATATTTAGTGTTATAATTGCAATCAATTTGGCCACTATAGCATTGAATGTCAAAAGAAAGCTCCACTAGAGATACGTGAGCGAGTCAACTATGTAGAAGAGGATGTCAACAGTAGAGGAGCAGCTGCATTATTTGTCCAACAAGGGCTTGACAAGAATCAAGAGAATATTTGGTATCTTGATTCTGGAGCCAGCAATCACATGTGTGGCCAATGAGATTTATTTGGTGATCTAGATGAGACCATACAAGGTTTTGTCACCTTTGGAGATACGTCAAAAGTTCCATTCAAAGGTAAAGACAACATCCCAATCAAGTTGAAGAATGGCGATCATAGCTACATCGCCGATGTCTACTATATCCCAGCCATAAAGCAGAACTTGGTGAGCATAGGTCAACTTTTGGAGAGAGGCTATACACTTTACATGAAGAATTGTCATCTGACAATTACAGACTACAATGGAAGATTAATTGCCTATGTGAAAATGTCCAAGAATAGGATGTTTCCTTTAAACATCCAATATGATGCAGCAAAGTGTTTGAGTGCCATCACCAACAGTGAAGAATGGCTTTGGCACCTGAGGCTTGGACATCTGAATTTCACAAGTCTGAAGATGCTAGCAAGTAAGAAGATGGTCAAAGGTATGCCCCATATTGATCATCTAGAAGAAGTCTGTGAGAGTTGTGTCCTCAGCAAACATCACAGATCCAGTTTTGCCAAAGAAGTCAACTGGAAAGCAAACAAGCCACTAGAGTTAATACACACAGATGTGTGTGGTCCTATAAAGCCTATGTCGACTGGACAAAATAGGTACTTCCTCACTTTTATTGATGATTTTAGCAGAAAGACATGGGTATATTTTTTGAAGAGGAAGTCAGAAGTGTTCAATTGTTTTAAAGATTTTAAAGCAATTGTTGAGAAGCAAAGTGGCTATAAGATCAGAACCGTGAGATCTAATCAAGGTGGAGAATATACAGCAAATGACTTTGAAGCCTTTTGTACACAACAAGGCATCAGACATCAGACAACACCAGCTTATACACCACAGCTGAATGGTGTAGCTGAGAGGAAGAATCGAATAATTCTTGATATGACAAGAAGTCTACTCAAAGCAAAGAAGCTACCCAAGCAATACTGGGCTGAAGCTGTATCATGTGCAGTATATTTGCTGAATCGCTGCCCAACCAGAAGTTTGCAAGCTGTCACTCCACAAGAAGAATGGAGTGGTCACAAACCAAGTGTTACTCATCTTCGAGTCTGAAGATGCAAGAAGGACCAAACTTGATGATAAAAGCGAGAAATGCATCTTTGTCGGATACGGTGAGAGAAGAATGGGATACAAGCTGTATAATCCTATCACCAAGAAGGTAATTATGAGCATAGATGTTATCTTTGAAGAAGATAAAACTTGGCAATGGAATGATGACCAAGAAGCAGTTAAATGGATCAGCACTGATTTGATCCTTGAAGATGAAGAAGTACCAACAGTACTTGTAGAAGGTCCAATAGTACCAGAAGATGAGCCACAAAGTCCGGTACACAGATTTCCTGTATTCAACAGGAGAAACACGCCAGAATCATCATCAACACCATCATTACCAAAACCATCATCAGCATCCTCATCAGAAGGACCAAGAAGGATGAGAAATCTAGAAGAGCTGTATGACGCCACTCAAGTAATGGAAGATACAACTCTATTTTATTTCTTTGTAGATAGTGACCCACTTAGCTTCAATGAAGCTATCATAGAAGAGAAGTGGATAAAAGCAATGGATGAAGAAATACATGCCATTGAGAAGAATGATACCTGGAAGCTGACTTATCTACCAGAAAACAAGAAAGCAATAGGTGTCAAATGGGTCTATAAGACAAAGAAGAATGCAAAAGGAGAAGTGCAAAGATACAAAGCAAGATTAGTGGCGAAAGGCTACAAACAGAGAGAAGGCATTGACTATGGAGAAGTGTTTGCTCCAGTAGCCCGGCTAGAGACAATCAGACTGATGATCTCAGTAGCAGCACAACATAGATGGAAGATCTATCAACTTGATGTGAAGTCAGCATTTCTGAATGGCTTCCTAGAAGAAGAGATCTATGTTGAACAACCACTTGGATACATTGATGCTGAAAATGAAGGCAAAGTATACAAGTTGAAGAAAGCTCTCTACGATTTGAAGCAAGCTCCGCGTGCTTGGAATACCAGAATTGACAGGTATTTTCAAGATAATGGATTTGAAAAATGTCCATATGAACACGCAATTTATGTGAAGAAAGAAGCAGATGGCAACATATTATTTGTGTGCCTATATGTTGATGACTTGATATTCACCGGCAACAATCCTACCATGTTCGAAGACTTCAAGAAAAGCATGGTACAAGAGTTTGAGATGACAGACATTGGTCTGATGGCACATTTTCTTGGCTTAGAAGTGGTGCAGAAAGAAAAAGGGATTTTTGTATCCCAAAGCAGTTATGCCAAAGATATTCTTGAAAGGTTCAAGATGGAAAGCTGCAATCTGGTATCAACTCCAGTTGAGAATGGAGTGGAATTGAGAAAAAGTAAAGTTGGAAATGTTGATCCAACTTACTTCAAAAGCTTAGTAGGAAGCTTAAGGTACTTGATATGTACCAGACCAGATATACTCTACGGAGTCGGATTGATCAGCAGATATATGGAGAAGCCAGACCAGTCTCATTTGAATGCAGCCAAGAGAATTCTTCGCTACATCAAAGGCACAATAAATGAAGGTATGTTTTATACCTCGAGTATAAATTTCAATCTTACTGGCTACTCGGATAGTGATTGGGGTAGAGATCTGGATGAAAGAAAAAGTACAACAGGGTTTGTATTTTTCATGGGAGATACATCTTTCAATGGTCATCCAAGAAGCAATCAATTGTCACGTTATCAAGCTGTGAAGCTGAGTATGTTGCTGCCAACTCAGCTGTATGCCATTTCATATGGTTAAGGAATTTGCTGAAGTTTTTGGGATTTCCTCAAGAAAATCCTACAGAGATTTATATCGATAATCGATCAGCGATTGCATCGGCAAAGAATCCGGTGTATCATGAAAGAAGTAAACATATTGATACACGTCATCACTTTATTCGAGAGCATGTAAAGAACAAAGAAGTCGAGCTGATATTCTGCAAGACAGATGATCAAGCTGCAGATATCTTTACCAAACCATTGAAAAGAGAAGTATTTATCAGATTGAAATTCATGCTTGGAATGACATCCCTCGATTGAGTTTAAGGGGGAGATTTGTTGAAGTAAACTCAATCCAGAAGGTCAAGGAAGGCAGCCACCAGCTGTCACCGCCCAGCCACCAACCGACCGGCCGCCAGCCACCGGCCGCTTTCACACCGTCGACCAAAAACTGCCTTTACACTTGAAGGTTGAATTTTCTTGTTTTGATTTCGTGTATAAATAGATAGCTAAACTTATGCAATTATGTGTGGAGAGATTGAGAGAAATACTAGAGAGAAAGAGAGAAAGAGAGAGGGGTTGTTGTAAGCTTTTGTTTATGTTATTGTAAGCTTTGTTCTTGAAATAAAAGAGTGTGTTTTATCCCTTCTGAGTATTTCAAAGCCACCACAAGTGGTTTCTCCCACCAACAAGCACATGGCTGAATCAACAGCACTTTGTTTTTGATCTGTTATCATTTATATTTTTATTTCTGTAAGAATTGAAGAAGTTATTTGACTAACATGGATAGAAATTGATCAGAGACCAGACAAGAAGAAAATTACTGGATTGGAGCAAGTGCATGAACATTATTGTTGGAATTGCTCGAGGGCTTCAGCACCAAGACACCAGGCTGAGAATAATCCATAGAGATATCAAAGCCAGCAACATTTTACTAGATAATGAGCTGAACCCAAAAATTCCAGACTTTGGCCTTGCTAGAATGTTTAATGGAGATCAAACGGAGACCAATACTCAGAGGGTGGCTGGAGCATAGTAAGTTTCCATAATCTAGCCTGGATGATTTTCATTTGTGTTCTGAGATTTTTTTATTTTGTTCATTATTAATGTTCTTCGGTGGCTACATGTCTCCTGAGTATGCATCAAATGGACACCTCTATTATGTGTCCATACTCTAGCAATGTGTCTGAAGTGCTAAGATGCATTCATGTGGCTTTATTATGTGTGCAACAATGAAACGAAGATAGGCCAAACATGCCGACTATTGTTCAAATATTAGGCAATGAGAATCCATTGCCTCAGCCTAAACAGCCTGGATTTTTCATCGGAAGAAACCCACTTGAGCAGGATACTTCATATAACAGGAACAATGTTTACTCAGAAAATGAAGCTAGTTTGACGTCATTAGAGTCACGGTAACTCATCCCTTGAAAAATTCAAGTAAAAGAGAGAGATCAGACTAAGTCAATCAATAAGATTTCATCGTTTCACAGCAATTCTATTTGCTGATATCCAATCTTGTTTTCAACCGGTTCTACCGTTCCAAAATGGCATGCTCGAGCTATATATATCTTAATAGAATAATCAGTTTATCAATGCCAGCCAAGCTGGCCACTCGTGCTTGCAATGGATCAGACATGATAACTACCTGGTTTGCGTAAGCTTCATTTTCATGGTAGACTTTTCTCATTTTATTTCTCTTTTCCCTTCGTTGTGACTTGTGCTACATGAATTTTGATAATAATTAGCCTCTTGGTATTAATTGTTTATTTATTATTTTATCTTCATCCATTCTCAACATTGAGCACCTTCCTCTATATTTTGTCCGACGAAACATACCGTTGTGTTTTGCAATTTTATTGAAACAGTCTAGTCGATCGTTATTAAGTTATCATATACTACAATGAAATTATGATTATTGTTCATCTTTTCCTTGCCTGCCTGTTATTATCAACCTTCCGTTTTGTCTTTGCTCTGCTTTCTACCTCTGCTCTGAACAATACATGAAAATGGTGTTTCAGTGCATTAGCTATTAACAAGAACAGCAAGCAGCATCACTTCCAATACGCAAAGATAGCTTTGATTCATTATAAGTTCACAGGTGATTTGAAAAAAGCCTAACAATCTCTAATGTCATAGATAAATAGTTCTGGATGATGCCTCCATTTCAACCTCAAAAATCAAGTGCATCTACTGGTCTAATTGTGTATATATACTACGCTGAAGCTTTGTTATGCTCATTGTGGATGTCTTTGATGCGAAACTATTGAAACTTCTTGAAATTGGACTTTTCTGTCTTCAATAGATGGATGTTATGGTTACTGAAAAAAAGGTGGCCAATTTTTACCGAAGCTACTTGGAGTCAAATATTTTGAGTCTGTAAGGAAGAAAAACATTTCTCATGTTATTTCCTGAAAAAACTTTTCCCATTTGACCAGTAACTTGTTCTAATAACAAAACATCTTTCTTTGTGATCAAACGTGAACACATGAAAACTCTCTTGAATGGTAACTTTTTCAGTGCTGTTTGCATGATCTTTCTTGTTCTTTATCTTAAAGCATAATCTACCCAAGCCAATCCATAAGAGATGGTGCAGCGCTACTTTCAACCGGAGGAAGCTTTGAACTAGGATTTTTCAGCCGTGGAAGTTCAAAACACCGTCACATGGGGAATATGGTCTAAAGAGTGTCCTCGTACAGTTATACGGGTAGCAAAAAGAGAAGTTCCTCTATCCATTACTTTGGGGGCTCTGAATATTAGCAGCGAAGGGATACTTGTCCTATACTAGAGCACATACGATATTGTTTGCGGTGGAAATTTGTTTAATTAATATGATTTAAATAAAATATAGGGGGATAATAAATTAATCTTAAAAAACTCTTGGTTTTATTTTTTAAATAACCCTTGTTTTTCTAGATTTAATTTTTTATTTAAGGTAGCTAATCAAATATTAATAACAGTAAGAATTAATTCTTATTTATTTTTTAATTTTTTAATTTTCAAAATTCATTATAAAAAAAAATGAAGAGTTTTCAACCTGAATTTTCCAGGTTTTTACATACTCTTCTTCACTTCACATTTTAATGTTTTCTTCTCACTTTAAGCTTTTGTTTTTCTCTTAAACCTAGACCTTAAATTTATCTGATTGAGAGATATTTGAGTTTTATATTCTTTAATTCAAATACATTATTTAGAAGTAATTTAAACTAAGGTGGTGGTGTTGGAATCTTGAAAGACATGTTGCAAACATTTTATAAGTGACGAGTAATAAAACTTTAAGAACAAATGATTCATCCTTGAGAACAACAAAATTTTTATTATCTTAAAGTATTTTAACAAATATCCTCTTTTATATTAATTTAAACATAGATATTTTTTTACTACTAGTATGCATGTTAAAACTTTGAATAATATCAATTACAAGTTTGATTATTGCAAGAACTTGTCTTAAATGATTAATATGCTCATCTAATCTTTTGTTATAAATCAAGATATCATCAAAATAGACAATAATAAATTTTTCGATGAAAAATCTCAACACATAATTCATTAACCTTGTGAATGTACTAAGGGTATTAGTCAAACGTTGAGAACAACAAAAATTTTATTACCTTAAAGTATTTTAACAAGTAAGTATCCTCTCTTATATTAATTTAAACATAGATATTTTTTGCTACTAGTATGCATGTTAAAACTTTGAATAATATCAATTACAAGTTTGATTATTGCAAGAACTTGTCTTAAATGATTAATATGTTCATCTAATCTTTTGTTATAAATCAAGATATCATCAAAATAAACAACAATAAATTTTTCAATGAAAAATCTCAACACATAATTCATTAACCTCGTGAATGTACTAAGAGCATTAGTCAAACCAAAGACAATACTAACTAGTCATGCAATCCATATTTAATTTTAAATGTTGTTTTCCATTTATCTTCTTATTTCATTTTAATTCAATGATAACCACTTTTGAAATGATTTAACTGACCCTGTATTCGTAGTTGAAGTTTGTTTGATTTGAAATATCATGGTGCCAAAAGAGTTTGAAGTGCCAGACTTCATCAAGTATACCAGAATAGAATGCCCAAACACTCATTTTCGATCATACTGCAACAAGATGGATAAAGTTATTTATAATGATAAAATGCTAATTTATTTCTTTCAGAATAGTGTCATAAGATTTGCCTTGAATTGGTATATGAGACTACATAGTACCAAGATTAATAAATGAAAGGATCTAGTAGACGCCTTCTTAAAGCAGTAAAAATTCAATTTGGAAACTACTCCTAACAAAACCAGTCTAATGGCTAAGGAGAAGGGATACCTAGAGTCCATGAAAGCATATGCACAAATATGGCAAGGTAAGCCAATACATTTCCATCCTCCACTAATAGAAACAAAAATGATGATATTGTTCACCAACATCATCAAATCCTCATATTATAAGCATATAATAGAAAGCTAAACTTAACAATTATATGATAATGTGAAGATTGTTGAAAGAATTGAACAAGTTATCAAAATAAGAAAAATTAGAGGTCCTATCATGGGTTCCGTAATAATGATGAGAGATGAATAAGAAGATAGCTCTCAGGTGGGAAATATTAGTTATGTGGTCTAGTCAGGTCGTATTGTAGCATCAACTACTCAAATGTCTTTGTCAAAGATTGACATACATTTTCCACTCGAGTTTGTCTACCAACATTTATCAAGCTTTGGACTTGTTGCCCTAACTCCATCAAATCTCATACAATCATTGTTTTCTAGGTTCCTGGGTCATTTGATTGAAAATTGTAAAAATTTAAAGTATCACATCCGAAAGTTGATGAGCAATGGACATATTGAGTTTATAAAGAATGGTGGTACCTAGCACACAGTCACCCCATCCCTATCTTTAGCAATGACCAGTAGCTTGTAAAATAATGTCAAGGCATAAATAATATGAAGTTAGCTAGAAAATGAGCATTGTATTTTGCTTCAATATGTTTTCCATATATCATGACATGACTCCATCAGTATTTTCAATGTATCATGCTTTATTTTTACACTTTCTGCATAGACATCTAATATCGCATCTACTGAAATTTCTTGAAATAGAAGTTGTAAAATTAATAGAACCCTAAACCCCATTACAATAATTCATCCTCCACAATCTTTGTGGTGAATCTCGATACATCCATGCACGATCATCCATGACTTCTATCGAACCTCTATAAAATAACAATGACAACATGTATTAATTAACTATATTAAGTAAATAAATTTACAAAAATATTAATTAACTATGTTTTCCATGTATCATGACTCCATCACGTATTTTCAATATATTATGCTTTATTTTTACACTTCTTGCATGGACACCTAATATCGCATCCACTAACATTTCTCGGAATAGAAGTTGTAAAATTAATAAAACCCTAAACCCCATTACAATAATCCATCATCTGCAATCCTTGTGGCAAATCTTGATATATCCATGCACGATCATCCATGACTTCTATCGAACCTCTATAAAATAATGATAACAACATTTATTAATTAATTATATTAAGTAAATAAATTTGCAAAAATATTTGTTTAACTCTAGATTATCCAACAAACTAATTAAAACTTCTCTTAAATATTCATTATCAATTATCAATATCCATACAAATTTATACACATAAATTTACAAAAATTATAACTCCACAATAGCATTGATAAAAATTAAAATGGACCCGTTAAACAGTCTATTATTTATTTCATCACAACACATCTA